TTCTGCTCCCATAAAGATCTACAGCCTCGGAAACCCTGTACAGGGTCGCTATGGGTCGGAACCGACTCGACTGCACTTAACAACAGCAACAAATTCACCTCTAATGTACTCAGCATTTAGACATCATTGTTTCAGGTTTCGTAACTCACTAAATTCACAATTGTTAACAATTTCAAGAAAATAAAAGAATTTTTTTGTAAAACTTAAAAAAATTATGACTGCATATCTGATTAACTTGTTATGGTGACAGGAACTAACTTATTTTAACACTTAACATTTGGAAAGTGTAATAAAGGGAAAAGAAAACATTTTAAGGGGAGTTTTAAAGTTAAAAGGTAGAATAAAGGTCCATTTTACATTTTCATGTTTGTAAAATGTATATATGTATGTACATCTACACATAAAATACATGTATGTAGATGTCTATGCATAAATATACACACATGCGTATATATGATAATGAACATCTAATGTATATCTATTATGTATTATAAAAGAATCCAAATAAGTCTCGTCAGAATTAATAATCAATGCTATGTATTAAAGATATTATTTTTAATCACTTGTGTATTAAATCTCTGAATGTGTTAGTATTTTATAGAAAGTACCATGAATTTCTTCTAAGTTGGTTGTCTGTAGGCATAAAAGTAGAGTATTTTGTTCTCTAATAAGATGATATGATCATACGTACCATTTAATTTATACAGATAGTTTTTGTTTTGTTTTGTTTTGTTTTAGAGTTATCTTTTAAATTTTCAAATTATGTTTTCTTTATCTCCATGGATAGAAATTAAAGATGGCATATTTTTATTAAAACCTGAAATAATTTATAAGTAATTACAATTTTTCAACTGTGGAATAGTCGACTTCGTAGGTGTAGCTCCCTCTCTGGATGTCTTTGAAATAGATGACTGGATTGCTACAATTAAAGGCTCTTAAAGTCAGTACCACCACCAATATATTCACTAAAAGCATATATAATATCCTAAGTATACCATTTTTACATTGATAGTACTTAATATCCTTTAGTCCAGGAAAGGAAGCAATGTCTTCTTCACTTACTATTAATAACTTTTCTATTCTGATTTGAAGAGCTTAAATATATTTGAGAATAGAATTAGAATTGAAAGCTATTTTTAAAATTATCTAGATCTGGTTTTCCATTTTATGTAACCTTTTATCTTAAACTATAGGTTTATGCATTTAACGAACAAATTACACTCTTCTACTCTTGTATATGCAAATCCCATGATGAATAAGACTTGTTACAGCCTAGTAAGAGAGATAATAAAAGATCAGGAACAATTATAATACAGAATAGGATGTACTGTATTAGCATGTGAGTAGTATAATTGAAATGGTGAAGTGATTTCATTCCTATGTGGAAATCATCTAGGTAGATAAATCCAGCATGGCAGTGATTAGTAAAGGGTAGTACTAGGAGAAAACAGACTTCAAGTGTTTAGATGCTAATAGAAAGTGCTGCTTTATCTTGGATGTGTAAGATATGGAATCAGAAAAGAGACCAGCCTACAACAACAACAACCCTGCCCTTTAATTCCATGAGATCTTGAGATATAGAAATCATGAAGAATTTAGTGTGAGAGTTTATAAGAAATGGGAGGAGTAAGAGATTCATTCTTTTTAAGCATGATGCTAAATTTCAGATGAGAGAATTAGGATTGTGACAGATGAAAATGCTTTCCTTTTGATAAACTGGTGGTTTGTTAGGGTACAATATAAACAGTAGAAAAGGGAGGTCATAAAAGAGGGCCAAATGAAGTGTGAGTAAAGGGAAATATGTGGACATTTTGAGGCACCAGGTCAGTGGTAGAATTTTCACCTTTCATGTGGGAGGCCTAGGTTTTCATTCCTGGGCATTGAACCTGACTTTATCCATTGTTCCTCTGTCTGTGGAGGCTTCCATGATTCTATGATAGGTTTCAGCAGAGCTTCCAGACTGTGACAGACTAGGAAGTATAACCTTGATACCCACTTTGAAAAATGAGTTAGTTAAAACTCTGTAGGTCACAACGGTTCTATCCCATTGTGAATTGGTTCACTGAGTGAGGGCCTAATGGACTAAGCTAGGAACAATATCAACAACATGTGAAAGTTTAAATAGCAAAGTTAACCCCATCCACCAAAAAGATCCAGTGCTTCCAATTGATAACCAAGTAAAGTATGTCTTTGAAACATGAAAGACTTAGTTAACCACAATGATACAAAATAAATGCTTTCTTCATTTGAAAATACCAGGTAAAGCCAACTAAATGACACAAGCTTGCAGATACTAAGGTTACTTTACAGGTGTCTTTTCATGGTGCCTCAAAGTATGTGATACAGATGTTTATCTCCATCTTAATATAGTTTTGTAGAGCATCATTTATTTCTACTTTTCATGAGGTCTTCTCTGAAGTTTTATGGAATAGCAGTCAACTTTTATTACTGTTGTTAAAATTTCCAGATTTTTTTGCATTAACATTTTTTTCAATTATTTTTTTCTTATATTTTCCTAGAGCATTCTGTACATTGCAATATAATATTTTATTTTTATTTTATGGTTGTTGTTGAGGACCTTCTAGTTAGCTCTGAATCACAGCAACTTATATAGGGTGTCTGAGGAAGGACTTGGTGGGTTTGAACCACCAACATTGTAGTTAGCAGTCCAGTGTTTATCCTATACTACTACACATATACATTTAATATTATTTAATTTCAGTTCTTGGAGAAAAATTTTAAAGCCTGATGAATTGAGTATTTGAGATTTCATTTTCTAGATGATGAAGCCAAGTGTACCTTTATCTTTTAAGTCTCAGGTTTTTTTCTTCAACATGAATAAGCTTCTCTGGGAAAACTGTTGCCTAAATATCATGCTGTTTTGTTTTGTTTTGTTTTGTTTATACTCATCGTATTTTCTTAGAAACTTGCCAAGTATCTAAAGATACAGTCTTTAAAAGGGTAATTGAATTAATACTGTTTTGCAGACTTTTGATTTCCTTTTATTTGCTACAGTCCTTTGATAGTATCATACTGCAAAGTTGTGAACAATTCACAATCTAGATAATTATCTATTAAAATAATTAAGTGCAGTCTCTTATATGATTTAGTATCTAATGTAGGTGTATTTGATTTAAAATAAATTGTTTTAAATTAAGTCCAAACCAGCAGTCAAGAAAATACCATTTTATCATTTTTGCCTGTAAAATACACTTTTTATTAAGTCTTCATAGTCCATTAAACTTAGCTTTTATTTTCTTAGAACATTCTATACATTGCAAGATAATATTTTATTTAATATAGATTAATTTTGCATCTGTATCAGAAACCAAATGATTTGTTTATTGCATTTACATAAGCTAATTGAAATAGAATGACATCTCTTGTTCAACTGATGAGTAATGGGCATATGAGAACTGTTCTGCATCACCTGTAATTTAATCAGCAGTTAGTTATTTTGTTTGACTTTAAAGTGTATTTGTGCATTCCTCTTTTAGATACACAATTTTGAAATATAATACGAATGTATTATTTTTCAAAGAAATACTTCAAATATAAACTTCTACTTTTGGGGAAATGTAGTCATTAACTTACTATGAGAAATTTAAATATTGGATTTAGGCAGCTATTTTCTTCTTTGGGGAATCCCGTGGATTATGATTACTACACAGTGGATCAGGAATATACTGTAAGGTTTTTTAACTCCTTTGTCATATTACATCACGTTTTGAAAACTTCTTCTATTAAGGTCCAGATAGTAAACAGGTTACACTTTGTGGTGATGAGGCAAAATTTAGAATCTTACATAAATACTTATATAGGAATGAACAAATTTCCACAAAATTGTCATTGACAGAATTCAAAATATAATATAATTTAGTACATTGTTTTGTAACACAAACGAACTAATGAAAGGAATGGAAGGAGGGGTTAATATTTTGTCTGATTGGGGTTTGAAGTTAGTGTTCCTGCCAGGAAATTGATTGTCAATATCCATTTGTGAAAAAAACGTTCTTAACTCATAGGTTGTACAAAAACAGGCTAGATTGAACCCATGTGCCATAGTTTGCAGAAGGTTGTATTAGGTAATAAATGACTACTATTCTGTGTTAACTTTTGAGAATCAACAAAAATCAGTGCTCTAGTTATGTAATCTTTTTGAAAATAAAGCATTCAAAAGAGAAACTACTCAATTTTAAGGGTCAGTGCAATGAGCATCGAATTTTCCAAGAATTTGTTGATGTTTTTTAAATAAGTAAAAATTAATAATGTGCATCTTACTGCAGGAAAAATGAATATTTAATCTAGAAGATACAAAATGTAGTGGAGTTTTAAATACTATGTATTCTGACTTATATGTAATAGGAAGTTAATAAATGCCATTTTAATATTAAAATTTAATATCCATCCCATGCCATTACATATTTTTTAGTTACACAAGAAAAAAAGGCTTAATAAAGGGTAATATTAAAGTGCTAATATTATAGCAGTTGTAAGAATGCTGATGAGATTTATATTTATTTATTTATTAAAGGTTTTAAAAATAAACATCATTTATGCAGTTGCATAATTAACATGCAGACCCACAATCTACTCACATCTGATTTTTGTTGTTATTGCTTTTTATTTTTCTAGGATTTCTGTCTTTGTAAGATATATTCATTCCCCAGTAATGAAACTTTGTATATACCATATGGCAGCCTTGTTCCTAATGTGAATTATACACAGCATGCGATTAACCATCCTTCTGGTATGAGACTTAAATCTACTGTGGCATTCACTAAAGTGTGTCTGATGATGTGATGTTTCAGGACTTGAATATTTGGTGTTTCTTGGTTTGTTTTGATTTCATATTTTCGTACGTTTGGTCTCTTTATCTTTTATTTTTGTGTCCTTCCTTTCAGTGTTCTCCCCCCACCTTTCTACTTCACCTTTCTTAGCAAAGATGAGGATTTCTACCTTCAACATACATTGTTGGTCTTGTCTTCTGTTTTTGTTAGGAGGGACAGCAGTGTGATAAAAGAGGAAATCAAAGCCTTTCTTGCCAATCGGAGGATTTCCCAAGCAGTTGTTGCACAGGTAACAGGTAAGAGCTAAAGAGCCCTTTATTCTGGAATCATGTCTGGTCTCTGCCTCCTGGTACAGATGTTGGAATAGTGCTTGCATTTCTGCATTGCAGTGCAGATCTGTCAATTTGGGCATAATAATGTATGCCTACGATTTAAAACCCATTGTGCCTGATACCATAGAACTTATCTAGTGATTTTTTTTTTTAACCTAGTGCTGGTAAATTTTATGTTGCTAAGTGCTGTTAAGTGGTTCTGACTCATTAGCGACCCTGTATAGGTTTTCTGAGCAGCAGCTGGTGAGTTTGAACTGCTGACCTTGCAGTTCAAACCAACCTTGAGGTCTAGTGCTTATCCTAAGGCGCAATACAGGGCAAATTTTATAGCTTTTCTAATAAGCACTAATTTCCTTATTTTATGACTCAAAAAGATCTTTGGAGTCCTCCAAATTTAATCCCTGATTTTACCAATTAAAAATTATTCATGAGCCTAAAGAAAGTTGTGTTTTATAACCCCTTATATATCAGAGTATTCCACGAACATTACTGAGAAGGTGAGAGTTAAATGGTTAGTGCCATTGTCTTTTCTCTGTTCTTTATTTCCCATCCTAATGCCCTTGCCAACCTAGTCCCATTCCTAGTATGTGGGTGCATATGTCATTCTCTCTTCAGATTACCTTTTCTTTTTGTTTAATGAAGTTCTTAAATTTGGAAGTATCATGTCATTTCTTTGTTGGTACACAGCCTTCCTTTGTAGGATCTTAGTGATTTATGTTGTTAGGTGTCATTAAGTCAATTCTGACTCATAGTGTCTCTGTGTGCAACAGAACAAAACTCTGCCCAGTCCTACACTATCCTCACAATCACTGCTATGTTTGACCCTATTGTTGCAGTAATTGTGCCAATACATTCCATTGAGCATCTTCCTCTTTTTCATTGACCCTTCTACTTTACCAAGCATGATTTACAGGACCCTTAAAAGATTCTCTGTCTTGTTCATGAAAGGAATCTGAAACGCTTCCAAGTACATTTTGCAGACTAAGATACAATTTAAGATAATAATGTTGTTGTTGTTGTTAAGTGCCGTTGAGTCAATTCCAACTCATAGTGACCTTATAAAGGACTTCTAAGGAGCAGCTGGTGAGTTTGAATTGCCGACCTTGTGGCATTATACCACAGCACCATACCAGTTACGAAAATGAATTTGCTACTTTTTAACTTGCCACTACCAAACTATTATTCATTTGTGTTTTTCAACATCTATGTCTTTGCTTAATCACTTCTGCAATGAAATAGTTGGATTAAATCTTCAGCAGTACCCTCCAGTTTTAAGATGCTGATTCTGTTCTCAAGATACTGATATATGTTGAAGCAGATTTAACTGAGAGATTGTTTTTGTTATTCTTAGGTGTTAGCTAGTCAATTCCAACTCATAGCAACTCTGACTATAACAGAAGAAAACACTGGTCCTGTGCTGTCCTCGTAGTTGTCATTCTATTTGAGCCCATTGTTACAGCCATTGTGTCAGTCCCCTCTCCTAGAAAGTCTTCCTTCTCTTTGACTGACCCTTTGCTTCACCAAGGATGATGTCCTCCTCCAGGGACTGATCCTTCCTGATAACATGTCCAAAGTGTGTAGCATGAAGTCTGGCCATCCTTGCTTCCAAGGAGCACTGGTTGTATTTTTTAACCATATATTTGGTTAAAAGTACAACTTGAATTTAGAATTTCATTCTAGCCCTCTAAGCACTGCCAATCTTGTATAATGTGTGTGTGTGTTTATGTGTGCACATGTGCATTCACATAGACACAATAATGTTTTTTATAAATGACAACTTTGTCCATGGTAAAGACGGAATGTATACCTTTCAGTACAGAAGACAGTGTGAATTTAATTGTTGATCTTTAGGTAGTCTTCAAGAGGATATTTTTAACAGATTGTTACTTTTGTCTTCAAGGACTATGTTACCATTCTAAAGAGACTGAGAACAAGTAAGCAGGTTTTGCTAAAACTACTGATAATGTACTGTGAAAAGATGGAGTGTTATTATTTAGCACTAGTACTTTATCCCAAAGATTGAAAGCAGTAATATTTTCTAGTTTGCAAGCCTAACCAAATGATAACATTTTAGTGTTACAGAACAGCATTAACAAAATTGAGTTTTGTCCTGGGAGGAAGGGAGAACACGTCTGAATATCTTGAATCTGAATCGTAAATCATCTTGAGCTTTTAAAATAACAGCATTTGAAGCCCATCCAATATTGATGCAAATCATGCCAAAATACCTTTGAAAGACAGATTTTAGGCATGGGTAAGAGCATTAGATACACTGTAATGGGTTAAACATGGTATGTCAAATAATTGCCTTTTTGAAAAGGAAGTCCAAGAGATATGGTCTAAAATCTTGCTACTCAAAATGTAGTTAGTCCATGAAAGCCTGTGAGAAATATAAGAATACAAAGTACCACAGTAAACCTACTGAATTTGAATTTAGGTTTGAGATGTATGGTTCTAAAAGATTGTGATTCACTTTCTTGATACTAACTTCAGTGGATTGTCAAAATTTAACATTGCCTCATTCAATAATAGTCATCACCATTCATTCTGTTTTTAGAAATATATTTTTCAAAATACATATTTTGTATATTATTTTGTATAAATATTTCAATTAAATACATATATACTTGAAAATATATTTACACACTTGCTATCTGGTTTTTCACATGTTTTTTTTCTTTTGTAACCCTATCTTTAGTACTATGGAAAGGACTCTTGGTGTGGCATTGTGGTGGTGTTCTGTGGAGTCAGTTCTGACTCATAGTGACCCTGAAGAGGGTTTCTGAAACTGTAAATCTTTAAAGGAGCAGAACGCCTCATCTTTCTCCCACAGAACGGCTGGTAGTTTTGAACTGCTGACCTTGAGGTTAGCAGCCCTACTCATAACCACTATGCTACCAGGATTTATGAACCACAAATTTGGCAGTTCAAACTCACCAGCAGCTCCTTGGAAACCCTATACAGGGTCACTATGAGTCGGAACCAATTCGATAGCTCTTAACAGCAACAACAAAGTTGTGTAAAACACATATATTTAAAGCTGTAAAATCTTTTTTTTTTATCTTTGTCTATGTTCTTTTACTTTATCTTCATTACCTGTTGTTGTTATGTGCCGTGGAGTCAGTTCCAACTCATAGCGACCCTGTACAGGGTTTCCAAGACTGTAAATCTTTACAGGAGCATAAAGCTGCATCTTTCTCCCATGGAACAGCTGGTAGTTTCGAACTGCTGACCCTGAGATTAGCAGCCAGATTCGTAACCACTACACTACCAGAGCTCCCTACTTGGTACTTATTTCCAGTCATAGTCTTGCAATATCTTCTTATGCTTTTGCCCTGTTACATTTAAGTGCCTCCCAAAGCTTTGACTTTAGCCATTTGTCCTTTCTTCAGAGGGAAGAGCTCCTTGAATTCACTTTGTGGAGATTTCAGCTCCTGTGTGAAAATGTTTTATAAAACTCTTAAAACTATAGAAATTTGTCACCATCATCATTAAAATTTCCAGCTGTGATTTCTGTTTCAATAACTCTTAAACGATACTTATTTGAATCTGACTACTTTCATGAACAAAACAACTACTTGTATTCTAGTGTTATATTTACTTTTTCCTCTGTTAGTACATTTTTATTTAAAATGCCTATCCTTTTAAACACTGCGTATTTAAAATTGAACCTACTATTTTGTTCCTCAAACTGATTTGCCTTCCCAACCATGTTGCTTTTGTCAGTGTTACAAATATTCTTCTAGCCTCTCAACTTAAAACTGTTTTTAGTATTAGCTTTTATTTGTCTTTGTCTCTATTTTCATGTCCCCATAACAGCTTTCACGCATAACTGTGAGCTCTGAACTAGACTCCACCTTTGTCACTAAACAGAAAGCATGTCTTCTTGCTTCTCCACCTGTTGTGAAGATTTTTATTCTTCTTCCCTTTTACTTTAAATATATTTACCTTCTTCCAAGTGTTCTTCTTTCATTTTTAATATTTACTCTTATATTAATATCCCTTATTTCTAATAGACTGTACATTTAGTGTGTCTGGATTTTCTCCCACTTCACTGATCCATCTTAACCTATAAACTTGCTTGTTTTACCAGCCTGAACATTTCTTCCATTGGATCTACTTATCTGTGGTTACTCAACTTAGCTAAAATTATTATTTTTTTCCAAAAATCTCCAAGATGTCTTCTCCTATCTCTTACTGACTTCCTGTCCTTGTAAAATTTGATTTATACTAGCCCTTCCAATATTTGAGAACTGCTTCTTGAAAGCTCATCTATGGTCTTTTGTAAAATCCACTGCCTATAAGACTTAATTAGAAAGAGTACTTTGAACATAATTGTTTCTTTCATTGTCTTGGTAAAGAAACAATGTTCCATATAGTTCAAGTGATCTACTCAAATTGTAGAGTGGGACTTATAGCACACTTCTACTGATTCCCAATCTAATATTCTTCCTACTGTTTTGAAATTTATAAAACCAATACGGAAGTATTTGATGATACATGAAATATCAGCATTGCTGTAATTTTTTTCTTCTTTAATAATTACAAACAAAAAATACAGCCTGATGAATTTGACCTATACTTATGAATGTAGTAGCTCAAAATATCAACTGAGAGGGAAGGAGTCTTTCCATCAAGTATCAATCCTATTCCCTCTGTATACAGGATTGATAGGGATGTGCAACTTAGACACTGGCTACCTAAGATGGGGCACAAAGTGGCTGACTTACAAGTTTTCAAGTGGGAGTTTAGTTTCAAAGTGTGCAGGGGAAGGTAGAATCCCCACTGAATAGATTTCTCTTGTCTAGACAGGTCTGGTGAAGAAGATGGGGATAAGATTCTTATGATTTAATAGTGAATAATTGTTATGACATTACGACTGTCACAACTGTGAAGGTAGAAGTTTTGTAACAAAAAGGGGGGAGTAGTTAATCTTACAGTCTAGAAAAAGAAGACCCTAAGAT